TCACGCGAACAGATTACCAGGGAAGATTCGATGGCTACTAAATTACTACTCGCTCAGAAAATGTCTGATTAGTCAGTCATCCGGTTCTCTCACCATCAGTCTTCGTGATGTCATTACAACGGCCAGGTTCACTTCTCCGCGAAACCACATTCAGCAGAAGCCAGGAGCCCAGCAGACTTCCCTAACCTCATGACTAGGCTCACTTCCACCACTTTCTCCTTGAAATATTGAACTACGGGCCAAAAGCGGATTTCTAGGCAAACTGCCAAAGCCAAAGCCGAAAACTCCCAAGTGTAGTTGGTGAAGTGCTCGTTGGGGAAGCTGTAACCCAGACACTTTCATTCTGTCTTTTTCCAATCACTATCATTTACTATGTAGTGTTTATGTAATTTCTCCATTCAGTTTTTATTCTTTTTTACTTCATGAGCTTTCTCGTGTGGGAATGTGCTCCCGAAACGTCTTGAACCCACCCCGTCAGCTTTATGAGCCATGAAGGTTCAACTGGCAATTAAGAAATTCCTGGTTAAGAAGGGGAGAAGAGTGGGAAGTGGGTGTATGTTAAATGTGCTCCAACTAGCGCTATAAACGTAAACTAACAGCTGCTGCCTGACTTCCGTTTTGAACGCCAAAAGTGTTTGTTCCTGGGAGAGAATTCAAAGCAAAAGACTTGGCCTATCAAAAGTGACGTTGCTGGCCGACATTCAGAGTACGAAGGGCCACGGCCAGACTTTCTAATAAAGGGCAGAGAATTTTTTATCAGCCCCATGCATATGTCGATGAATGAAGTCGCTCGCTTGCATGTTCAAGCACTCCACTCGTTGAAGGTAATTTTGCACGAAAAACCAGCGAAGCAGGAATAATTTCCGGACGATGAAGGAAGAAAAAAAACCTAGGGCCTCCCGGGGAGGTTGAGAAAATGAACTATGTGAGGGGCTTCCGCTGAAATACCCTTATCCCCTTCCCTATCGATTTGTCGCCCCAGAAGTACCAGCAAACAAAACTTCTTCAAGTTCAGTGGATGTTCTTCACGAAGTACTGGTACTTGGTACCCCTGAGAAGGGAAATCGATAAGATTCTAGGGTCCAGATCCTCATTTGTAAATCTTGTTACCTTGAATTGTAAAAATATTGGTAGTAAATC